ACATTATATATATATCAATGTAGTTCTAAGTTGAAGTTAGGAGACTATTAAAATTTGTACAAATTTCCACTGTCTTTCAGCATCGTTTTCCGATGTAAACATACTGTGACGCCATAATGAAATGGTAGAATTAAGGTTGACTATTCAGACGGGTCACACATCGAGAATCCACATCAGACAGTTAAGTCGTCTTTGGTGAAAATACGCAGCAAATCAATGTAGCGAAAGTAGTTCAAGAGTTCAAAATAAAAACAGTGGAAAATCGAAAAGATGATATAACCACAAACACAACAGATAGTTTTCACATATTTACTAAAAATAGATTCTCTTTTATTTCATATATAAGTATTTAGAGTGGTTTTCATTAACCCGTGAAACACACTTTAGCGTATTTATCGCTATTACACTTTGGCTCTTTTGTTTTTTTATTGTCTCTACGCGACTATTACGATCTATTACACTCTAATTATTACAATTTGTTTCACGGGTTTATAAAAACCACTCTAAGGCATTTCACAGGCAGTATAAACAYTGAACATGCAAAATGGAAGTGTTGGTAAATTTGGCTAGTCTCGCTGAGAGAACACCCTTAAAAAAATATAATCTCAAACCGAAGACTAAGCAAAAGAGAGAAATGGTGATAATCCAGTAGTAAGGTCGGACCCATGTGGGGAACAGCGTCTAGAAACTATAACAAAATTAAAATTAAATCTGAATGGTCCTCATTCTCAAAAGCAAAGCTGGTTTGTAACGGCTCTGGATGCAAAACCGAGTTCTCCTGAACATCGTGCATGGAAACGCATCAAAAGTGGCCAACTCTACATGAAGCATCTTCATAAAAACGTTTAYCGTTAATTGATTAATCGCTATTGCATTCCTTGTTTTACAAGTTCAACTTTGAATTACTGAGTATAATTGAAATTGCTTTGAGCTCTTTCTTTTATGAAATTGTCGTCTGGCCTAATGACGTCATGTCCATCGCCGAATAGTCATCTTTAGATATTTTGGTTCGATGACTATGTACAAAAGAACGCACACGAGGCTCCGAGAAAACAATGGATAATCTTGATCAATCTTTTATCTCCCCGGAGCCTCGTCTGCAATTCTTTTGTGCATGGTCACTGAACCAAAATATCTAAAGTCGGCTATTGTACCATGGTATTGACGAATGTATTAAAATGTTTTCTATTGTTTAAATGTTTGTGCTCTATTGATGAATGCATTAAAATGGCGGATATTTAATAAAACTAGGCTAGGGAGGATGATCTTTTACAAACGCATCTAAAACTAAGGATGCCATCACACTAAAGCATGTCGAAAGAACTGTTGGATACTAAACTAAAAAACAGTCTGAAACACCAGAAACTGAAACAAAAAAGTATAGCTTAATTAAAACTTTTCTCAATCTCAGGGTGCTCTTCAACAATGTCATTACGGAAAAGGAYCATTTCGTGATCTCTGTCTCGGTAAAGCGCAGATTTGGTATTATTTAGCATAAGTATTATTTAAATAACGTCATRTTAATTCAGAGATTTGTTGCCGTTTCTCGTTGCAAAGAATGAACGTTATCTGCTCACTTGTATTGCACTATAAGATCATTATTGTGTCTGYTCCCGAGACACGCATCCTTTAGGTCGGATTAGGGCTTTGGTTCAGCGAAAGCCATTTTTTGCAAAGACTGAGTGTTTTATTCTGCCCTGTTTTCTGTGCTTCCTCTGCRATCATTTGCACAGCTTCCAGATTCTTCTCTTTGACGGCAATAAGATAAGCTGATCTAAGTTTGCCACAAAGAAGGAAGGCATCAATCTGGAATAAAGAAATAACTTTTTAGGTAACTGCAATGCGCTTGGACAGAGGGWAAAMCAATYTGTTACGTGYCGATAAGCAATTTCAGAAAACAAGGAGTCACAAAGTGCACGATACTGAAACTAATCTAATCATGATAACAGGGAATATTTATTTGCTTTATTTTTGTTATGTTATGTTGTGTTCTGTTTTTGAAATTTTGAAAGATCTTTTCAGGCCTAAAGTACCTGCTGAAAATGTACTTTGCGCTGGTAAAACSAAAAATAAGTTACAGAATAACATTTCAGCATAGAGAAAATATATAAATAGTGTGATAGAACGGACGAATAGCAAGGGATGATGAATAAGTACCTTGTTTGAGTCGCTCTTTAATAGTTTTATAAGATTCTCTACATTTTTGGCCTGGAAAAGAAGAAGRTCGAATCTTGAATCCTTGCTGAGTTCACATTTACAAGAGGATAACAAAGAGGAAGTGGGGCAATAAGAGAAAGGAAAAAAGCAAGTGGAAGAGGAAAACAAGGAAAGGAGCGAAAAGATGAGGAAGAGAAGGTTAGGAACGATAAAAAAAGGAGGAAGATGAAGAGGAGGAGGAGGAGGAGGGTGACAAAGTAATAAGGGTACGAAAACAATTCTGAATAACGATTAAAGAGAAGTATTTCCAGATATAACAGSCAGAGCATAACTATCTTACCTGGTTCTGATCAGCAGACACAATACGAACACAAGCCAATATGATATCATCAAAACATTTGTCACTCATAAGACCAACATCAGCAACACAATTTAATAGCTGCTGTATATGGTTAAACTTGTATTGTCGAGCCAGGGCGCGGCCAGCATCAACATACACCCGACCAGCGGGCAAATTATAATCCTTAGCAATACAAAAAAAAAACAGTTCAGTAAACCCTCAAATAACGGACATAAGGTCATAACGGATAGTCAATTAGCCCAAAGAGCAAAATAAAAAAAAATAAGAAACAAGTCTTTCGCTATCTCTTTTAGTCCCCTTTTACGATTCACCTYAATGGATTTGCTCTCTTGTAAGCTAAAATATTTTGCTCCATAGCGGAGCCGCTGAAACACGGTTTATTCCAAACAAAAATGCACGACCTTTGCGTGCGCATAAATAAGCAACAAGTTGCATTCAAGGGTATTTTACGTCTAGTCAGAAAAAGACAATAGAAAAATGCTGATTTAGCTGAATTTGGCAGCATGTTTCGGATTATGTTTTCATCTGAATAAACCCTGTTAGGGTTTTTTTACAAACGTTTTGAGCATTACCTGTATTATACGAGCAGTAAGAGAGAATCCATCTTGAATAGTACTCCCAGATAGCAAAATCTAAGTAAGCAATTTCAAAAAATAGTTTAKGCATTTGCAGAGTTACAGTTAGGTCAGATTGAGGTTTCGCCTCGAGACTATTGTACAAAGGATGAATAGCGCTCATCTTTATCAACTGAATACAATTCGTGTAAAATAATTTTATCGACGCTTCGTACAACCTGCCCTGAACCCCTGACTTTACGATGGCCAAACTGATTATCTCATAATGTACACTTTTAACGAAATATAAATCCATCTTTAAGTTTACTGCTAACTGCCTATCGGCGGTATCAATTGTGAATCATGCCAAAATTCTTGACTTTTTGATACATTTGCACATTTCCTGATAATTCAATCTTCCCTTAAGGAATTCCCTTAGAAATTGTCAAAATTCACAGATKTTCTTATACCATGGGAGCACTTTTCACCTGAATGGCAAGGTCAGCCTTAATGCGTCCACTACCAAAAAGTGTAGGCAGTTTCTCGTCGTTATTGACTCKTAAACCCGCAACATTTCCTCCTTCATTGTAGCACTTATGAAGAAACTTCGTTACTTCAATTTGAAGGTTGATGGTATTGACATAGCTTGTTAGTTCAGAGAGCGTCATAGACACATGGTGCAACTCCTCTGATGACTTTCGAATGAGAGTGCTATGACTACGAAGCCAAGAACTGGCACTCAGGGCGGTAGAACGTGGGGACTTCTTTTCAATAATRACAGCTTCGATATGAGAGCGCGCCTTACTGAGATAGTCTAGACGCGAGAAGAGATCATTTTGCGACGTGACCGTTCCTGTAGTTCCCTCAAAGAAACGAATGCATGTCTGWGCAGCTCGGAAGAAATCCTAGAAAAGTGAATAAGAAGCAATTTACTTTACTGAGGCTGCTTGTCTTCTGCACTCTACCTGACATACAAGAATACCATATCTGACACCATATAGCATTTGTAGCCATTCTAACCCATATTAGGTTTCTCAAGCCTAAACTCTCTTGGAGCGGTTAGGTACGCTTGGCTACGCAAGCTAAGGTTATTTGCAGTGTAAAGCTCAAGTATATGATAAAAAGATGAAACAAAACCGGTTCTTTTGACTAAGTCCCTATGTTTTGTAGGGATATATTCACCTTCATAAAAAGTTGAAAGTCATASAGTAGATGATGATAGCCACGTTTGTTGAGAAAACGGCAAGAGGCAGTCAGGTATGGCATCCACGACTGTAGTGATGGGTCAGCGGCTTCCATTTGTTCTTTAAAGGCAGATAAACTTCCTTTACTTATCAAACGCATCAAGAGACTTTCGACAAATACGTCTGGATGGCATTTCTGTACATCATTAACAAAATTAAAGATAACTGTTACTTCTTAATAAGTCACTGTTATACACAGCTAATATAAACACATCAAAACATGAGGTAGATGTCAAAGTCAGATCTTTCATTTACCACGAAACTCCACAATTGTTTAAATAACTCCTATAGAAACATTATCTTCGAATAGTCCGATTGTTCTGCAATGTTATTTAGAGAGAAAAAAAGAAGAGAAAAAAATCACATGAAATTACCCATAATAAACTAGATAGAGTACAAAGATTAAATGTGTGCAACACTYTCCACTATTTACTACAAAATAGTGTTAATTAAACAATAGCAAACAATTAGCATAATTTAGCAGTATTTAGTGGTATTTATGTTGCACAGTTTTAGTGTTTGTACTCTATAATAATATATGTTAGAGTGTTCGCACTTAAAGCGTGAAACAAATAGTACTAATTACTACTAAATAGTGTTTATCATATAATAGGAAACAAAGGAATTTGTATAATTTATCACCTATTTTATAGTATTTATATTTCACGCATTTAGTGCGAGCACTCTACCGGTCAGAATTCGTGACTGTATCAAAAAAAAAAATTGTTATAAGTAGAATATTACCTTTTCTAGTATGTATCGACAGGCGAGCTTTAGATGACCATGCCGTGCGTAGAATGCAACAGTTGATGTATCAGAACCATATAAACGTAAATAGTAYAAGCATTCGTCAAACCGCTTACTATCTAATGTGCCACTGGGCATCGAACTCTGGAGAAAAAAAATACAAATAATATCATTGAAGATGCACAGAATGTTGAAAGGATGAAAAGGAAAAAAGTTTAAAGAATACAAGTGTTCACAACCAGCTCATGTAATGAGTAAGAGAACACATCAACACAAACTCATCTCGAATATGCTCCAAGCTGAGATTCCAGCCATGGCGAAGGCAGAACCCACTMAACAATTAATTATATTCACATTTGAAATCACAAGCGAATCCTGAAATCTGATTGGTTCTTAGCAGGTCGATTTCAGCCTAAATCGCACCATTTTGAACTCTTAATCACACTCCTTTGAGAAGCAAATCAAAATTGTATTTGTACGAATTAATAAACTTTTATGCTGTACAATGTCTTAGATTTCAAAATAGATATAATTAATTATAATTACGCGGTCGTGTGATTTTGAATCACGAGTTTGATTTYCAAATTGCACTTAGGTCAATTACCATTATTAATTCACCTAAATCAATCAGTGTCATTATGTCTCCTATGATACCTTAGAAATTTCATTCTGGCTCAGTTTCCGTACGAGAGTGAAACAACATCAACAACGGCACAAACAATACACCGAACTGTCGAGGAACCTTACTAGCGGTAAAACAGTACAGAAACAGTACAGCGCGGTTAATTACAGCAGGAAAGTTTCGCAGATTCAGAAAACAAAAACCAATCATCTTAATACAGACAAAATTTTAAGATTTGTTTCATGCAAAATCGCCAATATCTGCGAAATGGAAGATATCCAATAATGCTTTTGTTAGCTACCTTGCAATGATCAGCCAAGCCACGCAGAGGCGACAATATTTCATCAGTTGACTGTAATATAACCACAACAACAAGTTATAGAGTCGATTTATTTTTATTAGCGAATGAAATTACTTCTACCTGTGAATAGGAGATAAGGGGAGAGGTTTGCAACATTTCAATGATTTTGTCCAGGAATTGTGAATACTGCTGCTGTTGTAGTTTACCATCTGATGACTGGAAGAAATAAAAATAGAATCATTAATTAATACTTTTATATTATGATTACTGATGAAGATATTCAACAAGCTTGCATAAAGATTTTAATCTTTAAAAGTCCTCGTCAAAACTGAATGGTCCACACTGATGTTCGTTTTTTTGCAAATAAATAAAAATAAAATAAAGTCTTTTATTTTGAGAGGATAGCACGTAATAGTCTCTACACTAATAAACTTGTGGCCCTCTATATATTCACTCATACTCACTACCTCAACATTCATTATTTTACTACACGACAATCCTGACAGCTAGTTTTTTTACTGAGTGAGGAAAACCAGCGGACCTGGAGAAAAACCCTCGGAGCAAGGAAGAGAACCAGCCTACAAAGTCAAATCACATATAGTCCCGGACCGGGAATCGAACCAGGATCACAGCGGTGACTGCAAGACTGTCCAAAGGAACAAAAAAMRGSTTCTCGAATACTATTGTGTGGCTCAAAACAGAMTACAGACCCCTTGCATGTAACGTTAAAGTAGCTTCACCTGAAGGACCACGACCTTTAGTGAACAAGAACTCATTGCTAGAATTCCCTCCAGTTGCAGATGCATTTTATATGAACGGTTAGGGATCTATAGTCATTCTGTGTTGTGCACATGAACAAGGATGATTCAAGTGCAACTGAACCCTACTAGAAAGTCATTTCATTCGAAAGAGAACATGTTGCTAAGCACTTATGCAAAGGGAAAAAACATTCAAATTTATATCTTCTGATTTAGATATATTTCAAAATCGGAAATGCAAATTAAGTGACTTCTACTAAGGAATGATTTTTAATTTTTAATTTTTATTTTTAATGATTTTTATTAAAATATGCAATATCACAATAAAAATACATTACTCTTTTTTTATATCGGAGATGACATTTCCAGCTCTTGAATATCACTGTTCAAACAACTTTTTTTTCTTCAAGACAATGATTAGCATCATATTTGCCCCTTTTTCTAATGATTTTCTAAAAGGATTCAGTTGCACTTTAAATGACTACAATGAGTACATTCAACAAAATATTGCTCTTCATTTGGTCGAGAGTACAATTACAGCATTGTTCTCCTTATAAAATTTTGTTTCACTGAATGTACTATAAACAAACATTCGAACAACCTCTCGTACAATTTGGAATTAATAGTCTGACTCGTAATGTTTTGAAAGTTCTCAAATTGAACTCGCCCTAAATTGCACTCGCCCTAAATTGCACTTTCAAAACATTACTCGTGACAATTAGTTCCGAATTGTACTCAAGGTCGTGCGATTTCCTATACTTAAATTCGGACTTTTAAGATGATGACCAGAGGTGTTAGTGTTATTATAGTATTAAGTCTCACCTTCATGCACATAGCAAACTTTTCTCTGGCAGTKGCTAAGTCTCCTGCTTGAAGACATGCAAAACCWGAAGCGGCCCAAACACTTGAAGGCTCGAGACCACATTTGGTWGATACTTCCATAGCAAGTGACAGCCGTTCATCTTCTATGAATCGATCGCGAAGACGCCTGCATAAAATAACAAGAATCTCTATTAGAGTGCTTGTGTCCTTATTTATTACTGTACCGAACAAATTGTAAATTGAATACCTGGCCGAATCAGGACGAGTAAGGTCTTGCAGAGATGTAATATCACCACAGTTAGACTCAACCAGAAATTTCATTAATTCTACGTGGCTAAGGTACCTGAAGATATAGATTATCACAGAGTGAGAATAAGATAAACATTATGGTAAAAACAACACCTTGGRGGACTATATGCAATTTCAATTGGTAAGGTTCCTTTKCTCCCATGCTTTGAAGGTTTTTTCCAAKTCTGCAGGTTTCATTCCCTCCACACAAAAAACTGTAAGTAGTGCTACSTGTTTATACAATCAATGTCTGGGTTGGGGTGTGGGTTTTGGGGGCACAWMTTGTCGAAATAACACTACCAGTTACTTTCTCCATTTCACTGGTTGTTTCTACGATTAATAGTACAAGACTGACGTCGAATATAGGATATTTGAGCTGTGTACAGCCCCAAAAGCTATATTAACTTACGTGTCACAGAGTTCCAAACCACCAGTTTCACCAGCTTTGGTCATTTTGAGTTTGGCGTTGAACAGCAAATGCCTGATCATACTGCAACGCAAATCATCAATTCGTCATACTTCAAATAAGTGGAACCGAAGTTAATAAGCATCATACAATTCCGAGGTTTTCACTTAGTCCACGTGTTAATGGCACTAACATCAAATTGCCTCCGTGTGCTCATTTACGATTGAGACGACTAGGATCACTTGTGTTCGGAGAGTCCGAAAGATGGATAAAGGTATCCACGGCAATTATCAACTGTATAGCACCTATCCGACAAATAGCAATCATATTCGCCCTTCGCAGGACAGTACCTGCACTTTTTCTGGAGAATRATTGTCTCAAACGCCAGTATTTAGCTGAGATTGCGTGTTTTGTTTTTACTAGAGAGTGCGACAACGAATTGGCATTGAAAAAAGTTAAATGACAAACCTAATAATGAGATTGTGATCAACCTCATCATTCCGTACACCGGGTTTTATTGGCACAAGTTTCTTAGACAAAGTGTTACACAGGTCCAACAGCAGTCTCCCACAAACAAGGTTATCACTGTGTAGGTCCAGAATGGCTACGCACAACGATGAACTTGGAGCCTAGAATGAGAAATCAAGAATTCTGTTGTATTTCCGTGAAGGCTGACAGCAATCGTAACGTGGACTACCTGTTCAAAGTAAAATTCGTCACGCAAAGMACTATTCATCTCTTGATCCAAGGACAACTTCCACTTATTTGCTTCCTCGGATTCAACTTTCACCTCCATTGCATAAGGGCTAGTACCATACGTATCCGCACGTTTTTCGTGTCCAGATTTCTTCGTAAGCGAAGAAGCTTCTGATAGTAAATTCATTAASTTACCTTAGTATCAGAAAATGCTTGAACGACAATGCATGTGACCAAATAGGCACATTCTGTTGGCSTAATAACTCTTTACTTATGTATGAGTTTTTTAAGAGACTTACCTGTTTGAATAGGAGATGACTGTACACGTGTTTTATCTGCAGTTTCGCTTCTGAAAGATTAATTAATTCTTAGAATAGAGTGCAAACACTGAAACTATGACATAGTTAACTGATCAAATAGTACTAAATTCTACTGAATTATGTTAATTTGATTTCTATTGACTGATCTACACTATTTAGCGCTGTTTAGGACTATTTTTTGTACTTAATCACTCTTTGAGTGTTTGCAATCAAATGCCAAACCTCTGGAAACTGTAGTAAAAAGAATAATTTCAATTACCTCACTTCAAAAGGACTGTAACATGAGTCACAAACGCGGACTGCTGTATTACCATARCCTGGAACTATACAATTATGCCTTGAACAGGTACCACACACTACACGACCACAGCGACGGCAATGATGGCGGCGATTAAACTAAAAACAAACATAAGATTATATCCTTTTTTAGTTCAAAGGCAAACGCATAAGAGTTAGACAGACCTAAAGTGAACCTTGTTATTTTCCTCGTTATCAACGGGGTGGCCGTACATTCATTGACCGGGCAGTATGAAGGTTTAATTTGCCAAGACATAAAAATTGGCCGTTATAACGGAGTGGCCGTATTACGCAGGTGGCCGTAAGCAAAAAAAGGAGACCGTAAGCCGGGGTTCTACTCTATTTAAAATTAGCATTCATTCAAACCACCCGAGTTGTATGAGAAAATCAATGCAATTTACGCTAAATTGGATTGGCAAATGCAGCTTAAAACTTCTGAGTGAGAACTTAAACTTCGTCCATTTAACTTTTGAGGGGAAAAGAGAGGGGGTTGGATGATACTGTTCGTGCAAAAATTTTCTTTAGGGGTTCAGACGCGCACTTGTAATAAATTCTAAAGGATCACATTGTACACTCTTCTAATTTTTGAAAATCATCAGGAAACAACAACAACAAAAATGATGCCACCATACCATGCTGAAAGGCTCTTTGCATATGACGCATTCCATTGCTTGTGCATCAGGCACCCACTCTTCTTTACTTGGGGGAATTGCAGGTGGGATGTAATTTGCTTGTGTCCTCTTTACTGATGATATTGATTGACTCAAGCTAATGTTGAGATCTTTATGTGGAATGTCTATTCCAAGTGTAGGGCTATGGCTGGCATAGCTACTGGTAAAGGGTGTTGATGGCGCTGYCAGAAAATCAGTTGACCTCAAAGAATCTTCTGTAAAAACAGAGATATATAAAACAAAGCAATTTACGAACCTTTATCAAAACAAAAGCCACAAATAATAACAAAAAAACACGTGCATTTATAGCGTTACGTCGGAATGCTCCTAAAGAAAGACACATGTAGAACGAAAATAAGAGGCGATTATACAAATGAAATACAACATTTGGTATAAAAATTCCATATATTAAAAAGTGTACTACAATTTCTTCACCAGTTTCCAGGACTTTCCAAGAAACGAACTTGTAAAGCACAAAAATTTTCAAGAGCTATTTCTTGATAAATCTCGTTTGAGGTTTCTGGACGTTTTTTACTTGTTTTACCTATTTGTGAACATGTACTCATTTCAATAAAAAGTTAAAAAAAAAACGACATGGAAACATCAACAGATTCAAGGATTATTCCATGATTTTATTATTATTCCTATTTTCAAGGTTTTTCAAGTTTTCAACTCSAGTGCTTTTCAAGGATTTCAAGGAGTAGGAGTACCTTTTTAGAATTACGACAAAAATAACGATTTTATCARACGTGAAACAAGCCCTATTCATGAACTATGACTAAACGAGAAGAACGGAAAACCAACAAAAAGGGAATGTCATAATATCTTACCAGGACTGTGCTGAGTCTGCACAACCTGAAATTCTAAAGCTTTGGCAGAATAATTCGCAAGAAGGGCATCAAAAGCGTCAACAGAGCAGGAATGGCTCCCTTCTTCGATCACTCTRTCCTTCATTAAAGACAAGTCAACTTGAAGCCGTGAAAAGACTTGTGCAGCCCATTCAACCTTGAGGTTCATCAGCAGCTGTTCTAGTAACAGATATGGCCTGAAACAGACAAAATGCAAACTACAGAAAAACTCTAGATCCTAGAACACAATTTAACGAATACACAACCATGATTTTCGACACTACTATATCCGGCAGATTTTGAAAAAGCCGTCCACCCAATAAGACACTTGCAATATTCCAAATGCTATGTCATATATGAAAATATTAACTTTCCGCTCGTGTAAAATGGTCGAGATTGTCAGGTATGTTTTAGTGAAGAAATGATAACTAAAGGTATTTCTTTAAAAGTCTACGTGGACATTACAGAGAATGCCACATGTGCTGAAACTGAATATGTRTCAGAACACGTGACAATTGGAACATTGGAAAGGTATTTTTGGCCCTACCTGGAAACCAAATGTTCATAGGAAGGCCTAGCCATTTCTGGAATGCACAGCAATGCTTTAGCACCCATTTTAGTCAAAAGAAGTTCCTCTATCCTCAGTGGGGATAGATGGSGTTGTAAATTAGTCAACATAAATTGGATGATGAAAAGTACTTGGCTGACATGCAGTTTCTGATGCAGTAAAGACTGACAGATTTCAAGTGCCATGTGCTGTTCTTGGATTTCTTCAAGTATACAGTAAGCTTTCATTGTGTCCTCTGGACTGCTATCCAATAGGTACTTTAGGTGTTTTTCTTTGATTGTCTGTGAAAGGAAATAMGGATGACGTAAATAGCAATATTTCTTTAAAAGTTCCAAAAATATTGGAAATTAACATCAGACCAATTTTGTATAATGAATTAGAAGAAAATAAATAAAGGCAATTCAAAGTGTATACCATTTACCTTATGATACTCAGATGGTAATCCATGCAGATCAGCCCAACTACTGGCCAGTTCATACTGTTGTATGGAGAGCAAGAACTCCATTATTTCGCTAGGATTATCGATGGTCAAGGAAGCCACGACGGGTATTTGAGTTAGAAGTGCAGGAGGCTGAGATGAATCCGGTTCATCAGTAATCCTTAATTGGGGAGCCTTGGCACAGCTTGCAATCTTAAATAATCAATTCAGTCATAATCACTATAAGTTACTCTACAACGCTATATTCTAGTCTTCTCGCTGCMGTATTWACTTTCGGTCACGGTTCATGCAACGCTGAGAGGCAGTGTTRCATGAAGCGAGACCGAAACTAAAAACGGCTGCGAAGAGACTACATTATACTTGACTATTTTGTAAGTATATTATTATAACCTTTTACTTTTAAATATCCACTGTTGTGTAAAGAAAGTATCAACTATAATGAATACTCTGAAAATAACGACGGAAGGTGTGTGCATTGCCTAAACATCTCTAGACTAAAACTGCAACACGATCAACAACAACAACAACAACAATAACAACAACAACAACAACAAAATATCTGGTTATGTGAGCTGAATCCATGAGAGGCCACCTCTCAGTCCATAAAATGGTAGACCATCAAAATAGAATAACATCAGTCCCTAGGAAGTGCAAGTAAATGAAACGCACCTTATTATGAAGACTCAACTCCTGCCTTCTGTGTTGAAGTTCTTTCCTGAGAGCAGTATTYCTAGATGGCCGACTGATAGCCAAATTCAACAAGTCCAGTCCGACCTTTGCCTTGAGCACCTTTATGTTACTCAAAACCAACTGTGCGAGCTGATCATTGTCTTTGATTTGTGCCAACAACGTTTGTGGCTTCTTAATCCATTTGTGTGTAAATCCTACTGAAGGCAAATTGAAGTCACTTAAAGCTGCATCAAGCCTTTTGGCAAACATACCACTGGAGCCAGCTTTACTGAGCACAGCAGACGCGAGAAGATAATCCATGGTATCACCACAACCGCCATTGGAATGCAAGTTAGTTGTTCTGATCAATTCAAGCAAATTGTAAAAGTTCCCTTGTCTCAAGAAAAAGTCACTGGCCTTCTGATAAGCTTGCTGTAGCTCAATKGAGTCTTTGGCAGAGAGCACCAAAGGGATGCACTTGATTTTTGGTACGATGTCATCTTCACATATTAAATTCTTCGAATCTGCTCCAAGTATTTCATAACTACCACTGAAGTCGATTCCTTCTGATGCTGTGGTAAGAAATTCCGCTATGCAATAAACTCTTGATGCAAGACATCGCTGTAGAGTAGGATAACCAGTCATCTTTTTCAGAAGGCTAATAAAGCACATATCATTAGATAACACTGAATGAAGTTGCCCTTGTCCTGAGGTTTCATTGTGTTTTGAACATACAAGTTCTACTAATGTTGAAACCAATGGTGACGCCTTTCTAATGTATTCCAAAGCTGAGGGGCTTKGACTAAACTTGCCCCTATTCTCGATGATACTCATAGAGGASGTTCCACTTAATTCTAAGCTCAGATGRAGGCTATCGGGAACTGAACTTGAGCGATACAAACTAGAACTTGACTCAGAATGGTCAAGCGATGAAACGTCGAATTGGTATCCGAATGTCCAACAAAAAGGTGAATAGCTAACGTCTTTGATATTTGGAAGGACACTTTGAAGCAACTCAGCTTTTTTACTATTAAGGTAAGGCTCTAGCAAAAGAAGGAAATTRGCATTCGTCCCTTGTGATGTCCTATCAAGTGAACTTTCAAGGTCAGTAATGGGCTCATTGGTGAAATCATTCTGATACCATTTCAGCAGTTCTGGTAGAACAACCTGGGAAAAGAGCAAAATAAGTTAAGCAAATGTGATAACATACATAGACAGAAAAACTGCTTAGCACACTATTGATGATGTACCTGGTTTGCACTGATTGTGACATTACGATTAACATAAACCATAGCTGCAGCGTGTAGCTGGACTTCAAGATGATCTGCATCATAAACCTATAACGAAACAGCAAGTCAATGAAATAATTGGGACGAGCAATCTGCACAGTTTTGCCTGCTGCAAAATAGCCATATAATTGTTTATGATGAAGAAAAGAAACAAATACAAAAACCCGGCAAACATAAATATTTCAGATGAGCTACAGCATATTACTCTCATTCACAAAATAAGAATTATATAATCTAGAGTAAAGAAAATCAAAAAAGAATATCAAAAAATTCCGAATGTGTACACCATTAAAAAAATAACTGAAACTGCTCAAAAGATACCTTTTATCATKTGTTCATGTAAAAAATAATTTATGGCATCTATTTCAAAGGAATCTCTGGTGAAAAAGGCTAAATTCCTTAATGGTCACTTATAGTCATCTCTAACTATAAATTTGTATTTTTAAATACAAATATAAAAAAAAGGATTAAAATCCGCTTTTGTTCCATTTATTCCCGTTATTTTGGTATTCCATGAATGGTTATTTTGTAAATCAATACCTGTAGATCGGGWGAAGACAGACATCCATCACTAACCGCAAAAACTACCCTTTTATCGTGGTGATTTGGCTTGTATTTTCTTTTTGGATCATCAACATGACGCTCTGAAAATAGTGGAACACTTACTATAATTACATTATTTTACAATAACTTCTTTAAGAAGATGTCCCATTTGGCTAACCGTAACCTAATCCAAGCCCATCACAATAAAAGACTAGATACAACCAATTATTTACAAAAAATATGCTTCTAATGACCTCCACACATTCCATCTCTTCTTTTAAGAAGGATATCAGCCTTTCATCTAATACAAAAAATAGTCTCCTTCGTGGTTCCCTGTGAAATCTTGAAATGAAGCCGTGCCTTTGTAGTRAAGTGTGATGGCCGTTGAGCGTGCAATGATAGATATCACGTCTGTAAGAGTGAAATAAGTTTTCTCAGGCTCAACGGAGGACGTCTCGCTAGTCACGGCTACCTTTCAATATGGCCCAGTGGACGGTGAAGGAGACTATTGCCCATTTATATAAACCATATGAAAAAGGGCGTGGCTATTTTAACACYTTAGCTTAAAAGTTGTTTGATATTTCATTACTACCCGTATAAAAAAAAGATTATAATAAAATCTGAAAGTCTCGATGCTCTAGCATTTAGGAGACGGAAATTACAGGTATTTGAAGTTGCAAATGTTTGAAAAACATGGACCGTTTTTAAACGGTTTAAAAGGTGTTAATTTTCAGTCTTCTGCTGGTTTTTSATATGGTCAATATCAGCTATGAAATGATCACCAATAATTTTTCAATAATAATTCGATGTACTCTTATCGCATTGCATGCTTACCAGGGTAGCACAGCTGAATGGCCGAGCCRAATATCGTCGGAGGAAACATTCCTGATCGAATTATCACGAATAGAAGRTCAAAAGCACTGAAAAGCAAACCAATGTTATTTAGACAAGTTCACAATAACTATTTAGAAAAGGAATGCTTATTGGTTCTGTTACAGCGGAAATCGTTGCATCGCAACCTCTTTGTTTGAAAGTTTGTCTGGATTTTGTTCTTTGTTTGGATCTGAGGGGCGGAGCCTTTCGAAAACTCGTTCAATCATTGGCTGATTAGTATCAAGCTCCGCCCCTAAGTCTCAGGAAAACCTAATCCCAACTATTTCCCTTGAACATTGAAGTCGCGATGCAACGGTTTCTGCTGTAATATTTTACCTTGTAGGTCCCATTTGTCCAATAGCATAGCAGTGATGTTTGAGGAAGGATATTCTGTCAACCGATGAGACAGTTGCTTGTCTGYTATCAAAGGTACTCCCTACACTTGTACTTCTAAGTAAATTAGAAAGCGATCCATGGTGTGATAGACGTTTGAAATGCTGTTCATTTTCAGCGGTGGAAAATTTCAATAATGACGCATGAGCAATAAGAAGGTTTAAAACATTGATAAAGAAACACAATTTGTCTTCATTTGTTTGTAGCAGATCAAGATTAAYTYTCTGAAGTTCGCTGGTGGCTTGGACAATAGAGCTGAATTGTGGTGARCAAACKACCAAACTTGCACAAGTTGAATCAACTACACCATTGTTATTCTTGGCAACATCTATGGACAAGAGCCATCTTTGGTTATATAATTTCCAATAAAACTAAAAATCATTTATATTCAAGCCAGAGCAACATATTTTACAACAGGTCATTCCCTGTTTCAAGAAACCTCTGCAAGAGGATGTGTACTTTATCGAGCATGCGCACGAAATTGTGGCGTGAAAAGACGTCAAATACGCAGAACACATCCAKCTGGTTGTCCCAAGGGTGAATAGCACTATCCGCTGGATATACCCAGAGGATAAAATCCACACAAAATCTAATGAGTACATAACTTTTACCACCCTGTATATAACTGGCCCCTTTGTGAACATACACTTTGAAGAATCACTTCTACGCAATGTTGTTTGCGGCGTTCACAAAATGCGTACTATTCCTTTCCTCTGGGAAAGTTAAAGAAGATTTTTCTTCCAAAACGTCATCAAGTAAGTTTTTTTCATCGTAAGTTTTTCTAAGAATGATCGGGACCTAATTTTTTGCATTGCACTTTAACATATTCAAAAATCTTTATATATTTCAAACCTGTTAGCAGTTCGACCATTTTGCTCAGTAGTTCTTTGGCCACTAATGAAGGTTCCCGTGCATTTTCTAACCAATGCGTATCGTCATTAAGAACCATGGGCTTAGACGAGGGCCAATTATAACCTACATATAAAGTTTATTAATAGCGTTTATTAAAGCAGAGAAATTGCAATCCTTGGCTTTGTTACGTTATTAAATATGAACAAATTTAGCAATTATGTTGTAGGAAAATAGTCTCAATTTATTACAATCTCTCTCCACCAAGATTTTTCCCATGGAAACTGAGGGCATATAAGATAACATAGAAATAACCTTTCTCACGCATTTTTAAAATCATCCATGACGTAATTATGAGGCACTGGTGGCACAAACCGAGTGGATTGGCCGAGAACAGAACGGGATGAAGTCGTCCTTATCTAGTGAAGAATGACTTAAAAGTTTGATTAACCCCAGGCATCAAAACGTTATCACTTACTTACCATTAAGTACCAAACCATTTGATGGAATATGCTGGCAACAGTTGTAAACAATCACCTTGACCAAATTAATGTTWAGCTGCTTGCAAATACCCTCAAGCCTGGATAAAATAGGCAATTTTCAATTACTAATGAACGTGATAGCTAAAGCGTACATGCCTTCAAAGTAAACAGAAACTAACGATTGTCGTTTAATAACTCACTGAGTTATATAGAGACAATCCACCCCCGGTAAATAGAGTTCAGCCGGCTGATAATATCCCGACCAATTTTGATGCTCGTGAACAGTGGCCTGGGTCAATTCACCCCATACGTAATCAGGTAAATCAAAAATATGATATAGAAATGAAAGAATAGTGTAGGGCTTACAAAGAGGCAATTCCAGGAGAAACAGGAATAAATTCGGAAAAATTAATTTCCGACCTCGCTGGGATTTCGAACCCACAACCTTCGGATTTGCACTATCGATGCTCTACCAGCAGAGCTACAAGGCCAGACTGGGAGCGGGTTAGAGTGAAATTTCACCCCACTATAACTTTCTTTCATTTCTATGTCTATCATAATGCCATGCGGTCCTCATATTCATATCTCTTTGCAAAACACAAGATTTACCTTTTTGGGGAGACGTTCTTCTCAAACATTGGTTTTCCGAACGTTTCAGCAATTCCTTTGTTAAGGACAACAAAAGGATTTGAAGCTTTCAATGCCACACTCTTGYCCGTTTCTTTGAAAAAGTCTAAACAAATAATCAAGATAAATAATGCCATTTTTGCATGARGAACCATTTCAAAATTGTAAAACGTTCAACCTCGKCTAAAAGCCTGATTCGCGACTGAATTAAGCCAAATATGAATGTGAATATAAATGCTGTGAAGGCCTAAATCTACATTATACGCTACACAATTTGTAATTAATGTTTATTGAATACGGCATACGTACCATCAGGTTTGGAATGCCAATGTAATAGTAAGGTAGCTAATGTATCTACATGGTTCAGCAAACTTCTCAAATAATCGAATCTTTCTCTTTTATTAAATACTCCAACAGTAGCATGATCTACAGTACAGCTGTAGGACTTCTGAAGCTCAGTTAGGCCAACTCTGACTGACAACGATTTCTGTACTAGTGAAAAGGATGCCTGGAGTTCCTGTGGATTGCTTGGACTAATTGCTTTCGATGCTGATTCCTGGACAGCAATGATAGACGCATCTCCCTCATCCAGAGCACGTGCCATCCTTTTAAGGGACTCTTGCTGCTCATTCTCACATTTTCGAGACAAATTTCGAAATTTTACTTGGAGGGATTCTCGTCCGGATAAAACTTCAACTAGATTTGGCTGGGAAGAGGCAGGTGTGTCGACTGTGTTGGGTTGGATAAGTTGGTAAAAATCAGTGAGGATATTTGATACACCTACAAGTCCATTTTCTGCCTTCACTGTTGCATCCATTGCTGCAAAATAAACAATAAATAGATAAATGAAATAAAGCACTAAATTTGATTAATAATGTTGGCAGGTCAGGTCAACAATTAAGAGCGGATGTCAGTAAAAAACAAACATAACGTGCCAACTCTTAAAAAATAGATTTCGCTCATACGGCGAATTACTCTTAAGTGCCAATCAAATTGCTACAATTATTTTTGTTTTGTTTTGTTAAAATTATTTCTTTTTAGAAACTATATACATTTTAGCGAAGGCAAAGTTCTATGAAAATCTCTTAATAAAACAGATAAACAACAAATAAAGTTGTACGATAAGAGTTAAAAATAGCTTAGGGCGCCTAATTAACCACAGGAAGCCCAACAGAAGATCAAGTATGGCCTGATTAAAAGTGGWTAGAACGTCTCAAAACACAAAAATTCTCGAGATAAACACAAGGTAAATGTTTATTTTAGTTTATGCTTGCTCTTTGGTATGAAACTCAACATAAAGAGATCTAATTTGTTGACGTGTTTATCAACTTGTTGGTTTCACACCTGTTGAAAATATGAATATTTTGGTAACTTTGGTCGGTTTTAACGAAGCATAAACACATTTAACCTATTATATTTTTTACATAGAGCGAAAGAACTCTTCCTTGACATTTTATCCTTCAAATATCATTTGATTTGATCATATCGGTGTTTGTMAAATCGAYGGCTATTTTGAGAGTACTTTTGACGATTAAAAATAGGTGTCATTTATAAAAATTCGCCAGAAATTTTAGATATAAGCCACAAATCTAAAACTCGCCCAAATGAAAGAAAATGGGTGATATTTACATCTTATAAATGTTTTAAGCATGAAACATTGCTGCATTAACCAAACGAGGCCATCAGTTTATCTCCATTTCATARCTCGAAAATTAGCATATTTACATCGTTCCACGAAAATTCAATTTAGTCATAAATAAAACGTTATTTTCAAAAACCAAATACATGGTTGTTCATGTTATATAATAAGGTACCTAAGTTCAGAGCATGAGCGAAATCGATTTTTCAAGAGATTTTTTGAAAATGTTTGATTCTTACCGGCATCCACTCTTAATTGAAGGGTGGGGAGGTTAAGGAAACGAGAGAAATGGTACATCAAATACTGCAATTTTGAATCATTCTAGTCATCAGCTATGCCTCCGATATTGAAGGCATGACCAACCTTTAGGAAGTCTACTCTTTGCAGTATCCAGCAGTTTCTTGCACACGTCCTGAGACACATTTGCAGTGCAGGCCAGATCTATGCAAACCATAGCAGGCAGCAAGTCAGGATGTACATTACYAAAAAAGGCGGAGTTYCTAATATCTTCATCAGTKGGATCCAAATTGTACAATATCATAGGTGAGGCTATAGGCAAAGCAAGTAGATGGTCAATCAGACTCGAGGTCACTGTTGATGACACKCCAGAAGCTGCTGCCAAAGCAACAGCACCCAGTTTCTTAGAAGATTTTTGGCTGGATAAAGCCTGCCGGGTTCTTGGCTGAAGACTACTGAGTTCTTTGTAGGAATTCGAAAACTTTTCAGCGAAGATAGCCTCCTTTGCACTTGGTTTGCCTTGCATGTTGAACATCTTGATGACTTGTTGTGCTCTGTCATAGCTGTTCTTGCGAAGACACATGAATATCAAAGTTTCAGGCGATGAAAGCATGCGAGCTACAGTACTGTCATCTCTCACAACAAACGTTTCTGTTAGAGATGGCCTTCTTCCATTTCTTGTGACCTTCCGGAGCTTTTTGGACACTTTTACAGTACCTGCACCGTCTTCAGTACCTGTTGAACATAGTGAAAAGACTTCTGGGACTACTGTAATAATTTGTGTCGGAGAACTATATTATATTGTTAGTCATTCTAYGGCCGTTCAAAAGGAGTTTTCGCTGTTTTAGTTTCTATACCAGCTCCATACAGTCAAGAACTTTAATGAGAGCAAGTAAGCTCAGAATTATCATTTTGCAATGCGGCTAACGTGAATTTGAATAGCAACAATGCATTGCGATCTAGGAATGCACTATGGAGTATCACAGTATTCAGTATTCAACGTTTCGGAATAAGACAAATCTTGGATGYTGCAAAGTTCAGATAACATTCAATTTTACTATTTTACTCTTCCTTCCTCGGAGTTTCAAAAACACGCTGTACTCAAATGGCATAAAGAAAGCAAATGACTTTCGAATCGACACACAAATGCKTATAAGGATTAATAATAATCGATGAGGTGTTACACTACCTGTAGTAACGTCTTGACTAARATACGAGCTTGATTCACCAGATATTTCATCATTCTTCAGCAAATCTTCGCCATTTGAGCCATGATGATTTTTCTCTGAAAAGTGTTCAAATTTAGRCTTTAAAGGGACATGGWCCACCARCATTCAATGCGGTCGTGTTTTGGATTTTTCATATATGGAAAATGAGGTGACTTCGCATATCCATTCGCAATCCGTTTYCATCTAAGGTTCATCGATCGAATATTACAACATCTCCATTTATATAGTATAAGGAGATAATAAAGAGCTTTAAAGATTTTAAGACATCAAAATGTCAGGCATACAACGAATTTGTATTCTAGCGTATTTARTGTGAAGGAAAATTGTAAAAATAATGAATGATAAACATTCATTGTACATGCGATAAGTAACTGAATGTCTAAGATGAATTTGTGACTTTAAAGTAAAAACACATACAAAAACACTTTTTCTAATGAAATTATCAAAAAATAARCATTGTTTACCAGATCGAGAGCTTGTTCTGATGGATTTKACTTTTTCTGTGACAGTATTCTCGGCCTGTTTTTGTTTGGACTTTACACCAGCGTTGGAAGTTGTTTCTCTTTTGGTATCTGCTGTCCAGGAAACTAATTGGTATCTCCACTGTGCTTCGACAATGAACTGACTTAGTCTTGAAATACGCTGCTCAAGAATACTGGCACCGACAGATGTATAAATCCAATCGTGTTCATTATATATAGGTGATTTTTCTAAAGGAAAGGAAGAAAAAATGATAATCTTAAATAAATGCATCAATTATYATGAATGGTTAATAATAGGTGAATGTCATAAGATTGTAAGTTCAGATGTACTAGCGGTTAATTGAGTTTACAGTGAACATGGTCATATTATTTGATTGGAGTTCCTTGCTKTATGGATCAGAAACAAGGTCGATGCGTACAGAGGCTGATCGCAGGTTAGAAAGATGTAAGAGCTATGGAGCTCCTCAACATTGCTTGGTCAGATACAATAMCCAACGGTGAAGTGTTGCAGYGATCRGAGAAAACCGTACAGTCTTAACCATTATTTATAAGAGGACGAAAATCTGGATTGGACACACGTTTCGAAATAATGACTTACTGGCGTGTCTCCTGGAAGGAATTTGGGGAATTATGTAACTAAACTAACCAGCGAGTCAAGAAAAGAATACAAGCTACATGCCTTCTACAGTTTAATTCCAGTACTAAATTGACCCAATCATAACGCTTTGTAAGTCRAACATGCGTGGATCTGCAATCTCGCTTGAACAGAGTTACAGAGATATTAAACTCACTAAATGTTTAAGAGTTCATCATCCTACCTGAATGTTTTCCTTCTAATTTCTGAGCATTTATGTCCACTAAACACTCTTTTAGAAWTTTCAGATATTCAGACACAGCTTCGTTATTCATTACAAAACCCATGCTTGGCTTTTTGCTGTCACCGTCAGACTTATGTCTGCAACGAGACTGGCCCAGATTMAACATTTTAGCAGGTGTTGATGTCTGCATTTCTCCAGAAATTGGCCCCTTCGTTRTTTTCACTTCACTGGCTGTYAYTGTCTTCAGTAGCTGAAATAGCTGTTTTTTGCTCCCATGYGAGCCCACGCGTGAATGCCCCTTTATTTTATAAGATGACTCTGGYGTTGAATGTTGTTCTGGCTCTTTAAAGGGACTTGATTCTGCAGACGTAACATCCGAGCTGGCAATGCTTGCAAGACTTTCCAAACTTCCAGTCAAGCTAGTATTCAAACTCTTAGTTTCATCATCTGCAGTATCAAGATCATCACTTTCATGGTGAGTGTTTTCTGAATATAGGTCTTCGTATGTAGTAAAAATGAGACTGAATATGTTCTCCAGTATTTCGACACGATACGTCAATGGAAAAACCATGGTCAAATGCTTTCTTCCTTCAAGCAGCTTATCCATAAAACTAGAACACTCTTTTGYACTACATGATTGTACTTCTGGATTTACGATGCAGTCCATGAAACTTTTCATGGCACAAAAGCTGTGATACAGGATGAGATCTCTCTGTACATCAGGGTGGATACCCTCTKGTGGATCCAGTTGTTCTTCAGGTTGATCGTCACTAACACTTCGMAWTTCTGTGTCAGTATGCTGTCTTCCTTTGCACCTGTCGACAAAGATCGTTCTAAGATTGAAGCTTACAATGTACATGGTACACTGTACCTAATCCTATTCTTCGTTTTCAGGAACGTCACAGCGGCCATCTTGGGGGAACGTCAAAAAGAATTTCTCATTAGTATCTATTGTTCATTCCTCCAACATGCCCGCTGATCTTTTATCTTTTGAATCTCATGGGGATGGTTGAAAACGATCAATTGCTTTGTTGCAATCTCGGAAAATTTTAACCTCTTTAAAAGTCCCACATGTATCTGACAGCATTTGCACTACTTTCTTACAAATGCTATCTTTGATTTTGGGCCAATAAGAAATGAACTTTCAATAATAGATTATTTGAAAAACACTGCGATCGCAAAGCTTCACGGATGCAGGGTGTCTTTAAGTTTTACTGTCTTTAGCTATTGTTAAGATTTTGTTTTGGCTTCGCGCTTGCAATRCCTTTAATAMGGCAATGGTATTGATTGCAAAACGCATTCTGAAATAAGTATATGRTGGAAAATTAATTKTCAGTATTGTAAGCCACTGGCCAAGTAGTCCATACTAGTCCATGATATTGAGTTGTCGAGCAGGAGCATGCACACTAGGAAACATTCRTTTAGAACAAAACAAAGAATAACTATTCACCCTAAGCGGATTTAAATTTTGATAGCTTTCCTATGGATTTCTCCATGAATTKGATTTGAAAAGCAATTGTCCCCGATTTTTTAAATGTCTTAATTGCTATACTGGAAAACCTAGARGCAACTTAAAAATTCGTTGTTGGAATATTACTCTTTCCATGGACACGTTTTTCATGTGCAGTACAAAATACCTCTCGCTGCCTGATTCTGGTGAAAAGACGGGCCGTTTTCTTAACAGAGCAAACACCTCCTTTTCTGGTAGCTGTGCAAGGCTGACTGACTTGTGCAATACACGGAGYACTGAATGAGATTCTAGACCTTGGAACATCTCACTTGCTTGCTGGTGATGGGTAGAGCCAGCCTCATTTGAAGCTAGTAACAAACTGAAAAAACAATGGAAACAAATAACCCCGTTAATTCATTTATTTTGAACAACTGAAAATATCACACGAAAACATGCAGCACTGAAAATATGGGTAAACTGACATATGGAAGACGTTTTGAATTTGTGGACATTATGCTAACACAGTTATGGAGGAATGACAATAGAGGRAATAGTCTCCTTCACGGTTACCTACGCCATCTTGAAAGGTAGCCGTGCCTTTGCATCGAAGCGAGACAACCGTTGAGCGTGCAATGATAGAAACCTTCTTTCACACCTACAGACAATTATTCACAGGTTTTTATCATTGCACGCTCAACGGTTGTCTCGCTTCGATGCAAAGCACGGCTACCTTTCAAGATGGCGAAGGTAACCGTGAAGGAGACTATTGTATGAAAATCTTTGTTGTGGCCTTTGTAACCTTGTTCTGTTGCGTTCCGTTAACTTTTTTGGAATTAAATATTTTTTCTTATCTTTAGTTTCTGTTATCTGAATACTGAAGTGCTTTTTCAACATTAATCAACGATAATATTCTAATTAGTATTAGGCATATATCAAAGCCAACAATTACTTAATTAGTTTGTGAAAGCTTTATGACAGGAGAGTACATAAGGATTCGAGTTTGTGATATCGATTCATTACCCTGCTTTTTGTAAGCACCACTGYACCAGCTGAACTTGATAAGCGAGTTTTTCACAGGCTTGATATAACAATGGATGATGGATCTCGGCCTGAAAACAGAGATTTAATTTGTGTTTTAATTGATAAACAACGTGCAGCAACGYCGCTTTGTACAGCAATGCATGGTGGGAGTTTTAGTCCTCGCACTTTTTATAGCTTCTAGAAGAATCTCCTTAAAAGCCGTTTTTTTATGCTCTCTTTGTTGAAACGGCACAGCTCTTCTTCTRGTAGTTATTCAAAGAAAAAGCAACAACGACTTGGAAGAATACAACTACCAATTAACATACTTGTTTCAAAAAATGGTGTCGCTGCACATTGCACATTGTAATTATAAAACTGGCCCTCCTAGGATGGTCAACCTACAGGCGGATCTTTGTTTACAAAATTTTGCTAATTAGCATAAAGTTTAAATTAAAGAAAACTGTAAAATAAGTTTATAATGTAAAAGGACTTATTAAGAACTATATAAACTACGAAAGTTTGAGGTCATTACATGGAATAGTTTATAAGATATTAGCGTTCAAAGATGCTGAGTGGCAAAAGCGCTAATTAGCTCATATAATATCTCTAAAAATTGGAGTTTTTAAAACCGTTTTACGCAAAAAGTATCTCATATGAGAAGCTCAAAATTGCGTGGAAAGCTTATTGTGTTATGTTGTTTCAATATTCAGTGCTGATTTACTGATAGTTAGGTTAAAACGTTATATCCTTATGCTAATGATATGTTAATGAACCGAAATGTAAACAAATTATTCGCCTACACCCTATGTATGCTCCTCTGATAAGGAGTCAGAGAAGGATGACTGTATCCCCGTAYAAATTGGGCGTTGTACCTAAGCCTCTTCAAATAACAGACAACTGACCCTACATAATTCAAACTTCAAGCTTCAATAAATGAAAGTTTCACCTTTTGATCCCACAGTGTGTCTAATAACTGTTTTGCATTCTCACAACTATAGCAATATGGCCAGCCAAGAAGAAGGACAAGRGGTTTTAGGACACTAAACTCCATCAGAAGCTTAGTGACATTGTTGAAGTCACCTTCTTTGATGAATGACAAAGATGTTTCCTACGGAAGGCAAAAAGCAAGTTAGGAATGACTGTCAGTAAATTGTTAAATGAATGACAGGAAAAAATGTTTTTGAGATCCRAATAGCACACAAATGTTCATTCTCCCTATCAGGATCACCTTCATCCTCGGGAACCCAGGGGTAATCCTCTGTCGTTCGTTCCTCACTCCCAGAAAAAATACCCCTGGGTACGAAGTCTGTTAGACCTTGTTCTCGATTCGAAATTCAAAATGGCGGCCGGTAAATTTCTGATTGGTCGAGTGATTCACTCGAACATTCTGATTAGTTGATTAACTTACCGACCGCCATTTTGAATCAAGGTCTAACAGACTTCGTGCCCAGGGGTATTTTTTCTGGGAGTGAGGAACGAACGACAGAAGATTACCCCTGGATTYCCGAGGATGGATCACCTTAAAAAGTGAAACTGAACTCAGTTTTTTTCAAATTCTAGGATAATCTATCCTCTTAAAATAGTAACTTGCAGCAAAAAACTGAATTGGATKAATTCCCGATATTTATCGTTATTTAATTTGAATTTCCCGCCAGTTCGGAAAAATGCGTTCTTTTTGAAATCAGGGGCCTGGTGCGAATGTAACGTCTACTAAGGAATCGCCTMTCGCATTTCCGGAGCCTTTCAAGGTAAATCATGGTGGAGATTCGTGCCATTCATTCCTRTTATAAACTCCTTTGAATTATAAGTAAACTTTCAACAATTCTCAGTCGATAAGTGAGAACGTTGGCTTCTTAATATACGTCATAGTTGGCTCGACTCAGGCCCCTATTATTTATAAGATAGTTCGCGGCCATTTCTGAATTATCAAAAATTTCATAAATTTAACGTTTAACAAAAAAAAATTGAGTTCATTTACACTTTAAGAGAAAAGCACAAACCTCGGTAAATAACTTAAAAATTAAATTATACATTAAAAAGCAGAAACCSCGGTCAATAAATTRTGTTTTTCAATYTATCTCTTGAAAAACTAGTACTAACAGCTAAACAAGCTGCAGTTAATGACAACATAAAATTCAAAGTTGCAAAACAATAAGAGTAGATGAGCGGACCCTCAGCTTCTCTGGGAGGTTGCAWTTTCACCCAGTGCACCCCCTGGTTACGGGCCTGAATTGGTACCAAAATAAAACATTAAGTGTCAGTAGATGTTTACATGACATCTAGCCTCACAAGCTTTCAAWCAAACTATCAAAACAAACAGTTAAAATACATTTGAAAATTTATGTTTTTTTTACATACATGTACAACTATTTGCAATAATTCATACCCAATTTTCATAAAACCAAAGTAGCCCTAGAAATTATGGGAGATCATTGCTGATATTTTAARAAAGTGCTCAAATCCATATTATACATATCAGCAATGATGTCCCATAATTTGGAAGGTCATTTTGATATGTTAAGAATTGGACGGAGGGCGGGTGTTTCCAAAATTATTGCAAATTGCTTCTTTAATATATTCAATATGTTGAATTATATTATATCTTAATACTTACTACTACATTTTCAAGAACATGGTTCCCATCGAGTGCATGGAAAAACCGACATTTCATGGATTCTTTAGGATCAGACTTGGATAAGCCTACATAAGCACTAAAGGCAGAGTATCTTCCACCAGAAGAAGTTACCTCACCATTCTCTTTCTCCTTGCATGGRAATCTRAGCCTGTTTTCAACTTGACAAAACTTCTKTATGAGAAAACTGGTAGGCCTTTGAAGAAGGCAGGAATATAGAGTTCCAATATCTAAGCTGGTTAATCCAGATACTTTTGATTGCTGATAGAGATTTTCAAAAAGTGATTGGAGTGGTTTAGATAGAGACAACATGTCTGATGTTGGGTTAAATAATGAAAGCATTTGATAGAGGTGCTTCTTAGTGTTGTCAATCATACTTTGATCAAGGCTTGGTGAGGATCCACTACCAATTAAATTACCCTCATTAGTTAAAACATRGAGACTTCTATTGATAGAGTTGATGTAGATATTCTGTAGACTTTGGCTGTTCTCCAAGAAGTGTTTAGCACTGGAACTAAGTTGTGATATAAAAGCATGTGCCAATTCRTGATTTTCATCCAGAAGACTTGAAAGAAACTGTAATGCATTAGTAGACAAAGCTGCTGCAGCATCGTTGTAACTGGAAGCRCCTTTATACACTATTCTACTATAAATATCATCAAGCTCCTAAAAAGAGAGAAATAAGTTTTACCACACATGATGGGTAAATTTACATGCACTCATTGACCGATAATCTAAAGGACCTGTCACACTAAGTTTGAAAATTTCCGTCATCGAGGAGCACAACCAACTTGAAATTTGGTTCTAGCTCTCTAGACTTTTATTTTTTTAATCTTATCAGAAAGAGTGTTTTACTTCTTTGAAACATGAATTTTGCGGGGAAAATCACAAGGAAAAAGTGTAATTTTAACTGTTGGAAATTAGTGTCAAAACAGCACTTTTTCAGTTTTTTTTTTTGTTTGTTTGTTTGTTTGTTTCACCAATCAATTTTTTGCTAAAAATGAGTAGCTAATCCACGTTGATTTGCCATCAAAAGAAAGAGCAATTCCTTGGTCTTAAATTGATATCAAAGTTCCAACCAAACTGAGTCACTTCAGAAAGAAATGATTTATTTAAATAATTTAAAAAGAGTAATGTTTTTAAAAAGAGTAATGTTTCTTATGGGTGGTTAATAACAGTCTGTGAGGATGTACTTTGAAATATTATACAACAGCCATTACCTGTATGACATGTTTAGGTGCTGTTTTCCAGTTGTTCAGATACAAAAGAAGGTGAAACTGAACTGTCAAAGAAATTGGAATTGGCAACTTATCCTGAAATCATAAAACAGAATATATCTCAAAACAASTCAGACATRAAAAAAATATCTACAGTCTAGAGCCAGTCTGTCTATCAAACAGCTAATTTATTTTCTTAATTATCTAATAAATGTTTTATCATAAATATTTAGTTCTATTCATTCCCCTATTTATCTATATTTTCATATGATATATTTAGCTTATGTCTGTTTGCATTATAAAAAATTAGGTCATTTTTTTTATGATACAACTAACATCACTTTTCATGTTGTTGCTTTTCAATTGGAACTATGTTTGTTTGTTTGCTTTTTTTTGTTTTGTTTTTGTTTTGCTTTGTTTTGCTTTGTTTTGTTTTGTTTTGCTTTGTTTTGTTTTATTTTTTTGTTTTTGCTTGATCAAATCTTACCTCATTGTTGGCATATAGCAGCGAGTAATCAACCAGACATAACCAAGAGAGATGCAATGGAGATATCACTGTGGTTGAAAATGAACTGTAGGTTGAAAAAAATAACACAAATTGATCATTAAGGAAAAATATGTTTCCAGCTTTACATCATTATTCATATCAGCACTCAGCTATATTATAGTCTGCAATAAAAGGTGATCATTTTTAAAATAAAAGCTCCTTGGACACAATGAGCCAAAGAAAATCCATGGCAAACAGAAACAGTAGAATCCAACAATCAATCTAACAATCGTTCCCAGAAAAACCTGGAAATGAGCCTTGTAATGGCTGTGAGAGGAGACTAACAGTAAAATGATGAATTTGTGATTGAAAATCTTTAGCCCATARTACAAAGATTTAAAATACATTAAGAAAATATGATATATAGCACATGAAGACATGTGAGTTTCCTTCCCCATCTCTCCTGAGAGGAATGCTATGCTAATATAACTTCAGTACTATCGTAGTGTAGAGGTTAACCAAGTACGTCATAGGTTTCCGAACAAAATGTTTTGAGGATTTTGGTTCTCCTCACTTAGTAAAACAATTGGCAGCCGATAAGATTCAAACCTGCGAACCCTAAGACCTATCCAATCATTAATCCTAAACCTATAAACCAATTACGCCACAAGGGAATTCGCTTGGTTGCATTCCTTTTTTTCTAGCATTTTAACAATTTCTCATTAACATTTCACTAAATAATTATTAATATAAGAGAGAAATGTATATGAGTAATCATTGGGATTAATTCAATTTACATTTTTTTAAATATTTAGGATACTACGCGTGCTGTGATTGGTCGAAAACCATGTTTGATTACAGTATACAGTATACCACTGCACGTTGTGGTTTCCTACGCTTCTCTCGTGCTCTCCCTACATCCGGCGTGTTTTGATCAGAGTATCAAACGGAATTTCGTCTTTTATTCCTTAAACAATAAACTCCCCTGAGGTTTCCCATACACCACAATACTACCCTAACTTCATTCCTTTAGTAGACTTATGATTTTTTTTGTTTATTGGAGTTGAGATTGACAAGCAAGGAATTTACTAATGTCTTCCGAAAGCTGTGTTCATCACATGTATTCATGAGCTTATTTTTTATTATTGCTAATTGATTTAAATGAAATGAGTGCAAATAATAGTTATTGAATGTTACCTAATTAACTTATTATATTATTTTTGTACCCACACCATGCAATATCCAATCAACACTAATTACGTATGTATTTACCTGCATAATTACATCTATGCTATAGCTTAATAATAACCTGGTTTCTTACGTACAAGCTTGATGTAAATTTAGGCTTCAGATCCACTAATTAGCTTAAGCTTATTGGTAAGAATCATAAATAGATTACATACAGTACTAAGCTYACGTACCTTACTAGGTTAGGCCTATCAATGACAGCCCTCAGCACGTCTTTTAAAGGTTTCTTTAACAACTGTTGTCTTTTGTACAGTTTTTTTAAGCATACTCGGGCTAATTCCCATTGACCTAACGTCACATGATTGCAAAACGATCGGTAGAGATGACTTAGGGAAGCTTCATTTTCTTTATCAAATGGATGGTTTACAAGCTGGACGTCACAAAGTTCGCTCATAATTTCCTCTTAAGTTGTTCATCTTGCTGACTGACTCCATGCAGTGTCCTTATGAAGTTTAAATAGTTCATTTCTTTCTCGTCTTRTCTTTTCGACTTGCTGCCATCTTTGCTCATGTGACGTTCATTATTTGGGTTTGTTGGTATCCCTTTGTAACGCCACAGGCAACCCATCTAATTCACCAATAAGTTAGCTCGCATTAACATGGTACCAGTTATACATGTTTTAAAAATAATAAATTGAGTATTTTATTCTGCGTTTTGGATATCCAATTAATCAAAACAAAATTAAGTGTAAACGAGACAATTTTTTTGCGTTTTTGAGTTTCCAACGAAATCTTGGAAGACAAGCACTTTATGGGACAGTAGTTGAAAGGTGCGCGATGATCTGTCAACGAAGGCACCGTAAAAACCTTTCTAAAACAAAATCCTTTGTATTCCTGAACACGTAACGTTAGAAAATAAAAATGCATCCCAAATCGATCCCAAACCTTCTGAAGAACTCGCATWTAAGGACAAGTGGATAAATAAGAACAACATCAAGCCTTATTTAGTATGGCGTTTTATAAAATGTGTTTGTAAAAAAAACAGTCAAATAGAATATATTTATGTGCCACACCTGCATACAGAAAACAAACTACTGTCTTGATACCTATATATATATATATATGTTATTTACCGGCTGGGAGGTCCGTATAGGAAAACACTGCCCACAGTACGAAACGAGCGCAGCGAKGTCCGTACATAAAAGACCGAGGGCAGTGTTTTCCTATACGGACCGACCTATAGCCGGTAAATAACATTTTTATTTTTTTTATTTGTATTTTATGCAAGTTTGCTCGCAGTCTAGCTGCAGGATACCGTCGGACCGGGCAAATCGTGAAAAACCGGACCGCGCACTAGCCAAGGTACGTGCCGCCAGCGGTCTAAATCCCTGACCCTGTTTAATACACTAAAAAGTAAAAATCCATACCCTGTTCAAGACAAATCGGAAAAATAAGGAATATCTATCTACGCCGCAACCATCAAAACTGCAATTATACTGACATCCATCAAAGACAATAAGAAGTTTTTGATAACACGTTAATCCTGGGACAGTGAAACGGTATTTCTACTATATTTCTACGGTGTATTTTTATGAAAATATTACCATGTCCAAGACACACAAAAAATTATATCGGTCTTTTATCTAAATTGTAGAGTCTGTTTAAGACAATTTCGGGTGAAATGGGGCGCTTTCCATTTGTCAGAACTGGCTGACCAGACCCAGAGAAAATGTCATTATATATCAAGATTAGCATGGAGAACTTTTTAATGATGAAAGAGGAATCCATGGCCAAAGAAATAAATCAAGAACTTTCCGACTTTTTAAAGTCAATTATTCGTTAGAGGGCTATCTGACAAAAGTTAAACAATTTCATCACAGACGAGCCCTCACTAAGCTAAGAATAAGCAACCACGACCTAGAAAT